CATGAATTAGCGCATCGTTGTCTGCGCCAAAGGTGCTAAAATATGAAGCCCGCTGTTTTAAGTACACATACAGTACACAAATAATGCACAGGTCTTAGGGGTGTGTTGCACATTTGTCAACATCAAGAAAGATACTCCAGATTTTGTTCATTGTTCATTTTAAAATACAAGTCCTCTGCTACTGTCAACCGGCTTAGTGGTGTATGCCATGAATTTTTAGGCTTGGTGTAAAATGCTGAGGATGGAGGCTCCAAAATGGAGTGTCACAAAGTGCAAGGGGTGGAGCCTCCTGTGTCAATTTAAAAAAAAATGCTTATCAGTTTAGGACCCTAAAACCTAATTAAATCTGTCCAGACTTCATGAGTAACTGTACGTGGGATAGTCCGAAATATCTGACTATACGTGGGATAGCAGCGAGGGAAATAAATCTTACCAATGTTAAATGTTTCCCTTGCACTTAGCATCTGTTATCGAACAAAATTTAAATCAAAAGCACAGGATGTATGCCCCTATTGTTTCTGATGTATAAAGGTCATTTTTTGACTGAATCTCATTTTGTTGTTTCTCAATTGTTTCTCATTATTTGGAGAAAAGAAAATGACAACAATACACTAAGTGATAATTATGATGTTGTTTCTGTTTCATTCAGCCTCTGTTATCTTAAAAAATTAAATCAAAGCAGACCTGTACCCCTTGTTGACATGTGAAGGTCATAAATTGTTTCACTGTTTCACAGCTGTTTCTCATTACATACTCCAAAAGATATCGTCAAATGTTCTAAACAAAATTGACTTTTGGCATAAAATAAATTCATTCAGTCAACTTCAAAGGAATTATCTTTTTATTGTTTGGATAATATGACATTTTAATAAGTTCTTATGGAAAATAAAAAATTGTGTTGACAGATTTCTATAACCAAGAGCTAAAATTTGAACAAGATTCTCCACCCCTTGCACCACCTGACTAAAGAAGCTCCACCCCTTGCACTTCCTGACACTCCATTTTGGAGACTCCATCCTCCGCATTTTACACCAAGCCGAATTTTTACAGAGAAACATTCACTATTTTATAAGGAGCATGTCTGACTCTCTCTAGTGCTGATGTTTCTATTTGATAGATTGTAATCCATTTGATGCCAGAATTGTCCATATCACCAAGAATGGGGGTGGGTGGGGGGTATTTCTCTGCCTATAATGACATAATCCCCACCCCACCCTGGTTATTCTGGCATTGCCCCCTCAAACCCCACTAGGGGAGGAACCAAAGACACCCTTCTATTTTTAAAATGTCCCCTTCTATTTCAATTCTTATCTGTTTTATTGTACTGATGGAAGGGATATTTTATCTTTCTTTCTTTTGGGTGGAAATGGAAAAGAGGAGGGAAGAATAATGTCTATTTTAATTATTTCGAAAAGTCTCAAATAGTGCTTTTGTAAAGGAGTTATTTATCTTCTGGAGGAGACACATCATTAAAATTCTTGTAAACCAGTCATATGATAAACACTGAAATATGAAAATGAAATCAGTCATGTGGAAAGATCATAATTTTGCGTGTTATTTAGATTAGACACGTGTTACAAAAAAAGGCTTAATGTACATGTACAGCTGCTGATAAATGTTTGTCTCACACTTTTTTTTAATGGCCTTTGAATCAGTAATGAAACACAGAAACATTTTTTGTCTTGTTTAGAGAATACATGAAAAATTAAAAATATATTAACAACATCCTGTATGAATGCATGTTGTTTTTATAAATTAAATGTGTGCCCTTTCTAGAAATTATCACAATTAAACCACAAGAGTGGGAGGCAGATAAGAGAGCTTAATAGAATTAATCATCAAAACAATTAACTAGTGCTGCATATTGTGATTTATTGCAATATTAAATTTTGTATCGCAATATACCACAATATTTAAAATTCTTATTCATTTTTGTTTTTTCTTCTCTTAGTTTTTTTTAAAATATGAAAACACAAACACAGATATCGTGTTCTTGAGTTGATATCAACATAGTCTGGTCACGTGGTGCTAGCACATGTTGTTAGCTGAGGTTGTTGTTACACAAGAACATTTAATGGTCTCATTGCAATTAAAGCCATGCACATATAGCTATTACTGTGGAATCATTTTAATTCGGGGGGGGGGGGGGTCATTATTAATGGGCAAGCAAAATTTTATTGTTTGTGTACACCTTGTTTATAGGTAGATTCAACGAATCAGTATGTTTACAAAATAAACATTCTTCGGATGTAGATTCCCCACTAACAATGATGCTTCCACAGTACTTTATTTTTGCAGAATTATTCGAGACAGGAGACAGTCTGCTCGCAAAAATTTCATTCTTATATTTTTATTCTTAAAGATTATAAAGAAAAAACCCCCAAAATTCCTGAAAATTTTGACTCACTAATAAAGAGTACAAAGTATAAGGTGTCGTGAAAATCTGGTGTTCTACAGTATTTCATTTCCAGTTCATGACATCTACCTCAACAGATAGGGTTATTAAAAAAAAAAATTAAAGGTAATCTCATACTTACTTCATGTCAAATTTCACAATAGGTAATTAAAATAGTAGCTTTCACATATGTTATCCATGACACAAAGTGGAAAGGAATTTCAGTTACTATAAAAGCAGAAATATTCGTTGGGGATTAAATTTCGTTGTTTACAATTAACAACAAAATTAATTCCCCAACGAAATATTTTTATGACTATACAGGGTTGTGGTTAACTTTTGAAACCTTAGGGGCCATGTGGGCTCCTAACTTTTCAAATTTTACGGGCCCACAATGTGATCCACGGGCCCACATTATATGTAAATTAAAAATAAGAACAAAAATCTTAAAATTTTTATCGTAGTATCTATATGTTCGCAGAATATGGATTTTTGTCATGTTTTCTCTTTTCTAAAAACTTTGATCCGATAATATGTTCATTACATTTTGTAGTATTTAACCTTAACTTATACATCTGAAGCGTCTATGGTTTAACAAGGGGCATATTAAATAATAAATTACAACCTGTGATTAATTTGATCCCGATCTTTTATTGTGTGCATTTGACATGGTAATTCAAATTCTATCTGTGAATAACTAGTCGAATGTCGAGTGTGACAACCATAGCTGATTGTTACAATATTTCTATTAGAACAATCTCAAACATTTGCTCTCGTATCATCAGATTTAACGGAGATTTAACCGCTTCGATAAATCACCATTTTTGATCCCAGTCACGTACATGTTTGAGTAATATGCTTGTACACAACACAAATAATCTAAGTTAGTAGAGCGTTTTCTTAAAAACTGAAAGTACATAAAATAAAACTGAAATGTGATTATGTTCCGGTAAAAAAATCGTTCACCATGTGTGCGACCAGATTTTTAATATCTAGTCGCCCACTGCAAATTTTACTCGCATTTGCGAGTGGGCGAGTGGTAACATCCACAACCCTGCTATATATTGAATAGGATTACCTTTGAAACAATGAAATTTAATGTCCATGAATCCTTTTTAGATGACATATCAACGAAATTTGATCCCCACGAAAATCTGTGCTTCTACAGTATTTGAAGTTAAATACCTCTCCCTGCAACCCCCCCCCCCCCCCCCCCCCAAATTTCCAATGAATAAAAAAAATGCTTGGTCCCTTTCACTCCCTTGTATCTATTTTAAAAGTGGTGTAAGTTGACAAAATGCATATTGTATCTATCTAAAGTGCAGCCTCCTGACCAGGGGTTATATATACAGTTTTATTTTTGGCTCAATAATGACCCAGATTCTCTGATAATATTCCCTGATTACCCTGTTATATCAATATTGACATTGAGAGTTATGTAGCCTTTTTCTATATTGCACAAAGATTTGTTGTTGTAAATGGCAAAAAGGTTTTGATGTTTTATGAAAGAAACTGATAAGAGATTAATGGATTGTAAGTGAAAGTCATTTTTTGGTTGTTGTCAAAATTCTGACCAATGCAGAGATTGGAGTGAGGAAAAGGAACAGCTGTGTTTAAAAGTACAATTATCTATTTCTCTCAGGAGAGGTTAGACAAAAGGCACTGAAGTCAGCAAGGGATTGATTTAAAGGTAAATGGTAGACATAAAAAACAAACAAACTAAAGGCCAGTTCAAAGCTTACATGAGCAATATATTTTAATTTGATTGAACACATTAATTATTGTTAGAAGTCTTTTTCTTTGGCAATGGATAGAGGAAATAAAGCCTCTGTGTTGGAGTTAAATGGGGCAAGACCTGTTGGAGTATGGAGGATTGGAAAAGTGCAATTTCATTTTCAGTGTTGATGAGTAAAAATTAATGTACTTGATCTGCCCTAATAAACTTACCTGAACAGATGCAGGCAGTGTTGAATGACCTAAAGAGACTAAAACCTTGCATTGTCCAAAATGGAAACCTCAAAAACCTAAATGGAAAAAGTGGAACATGCGGTACCATGTCTATAATGATCATTTTGATAATGAAATGTGATGGAAAAGTAGAGTAAAGTAATAACATGTACATGTAGTCTAAAATTATAGCTCAATCAGTTTCTTATTTTTTCAAAACATCAAAACATGGAAAAGAAATTTGTAGAAAAAGCTATAGGCAAAAATGTATATTTTTTGGAATTCCTTCTGTGATATTGCAAAAATGAATAATCATGGGGTCCATTCCTCAGCCCAAATATAAAAATTGTCTGGAGAAAAAAAATGGTTTCCATCAAGAGCACATTAGATCTATATGTATGAGGTAAAGTTTATTTATATACGCATAGGCTTAAGGGGTCAGTGTTTCAGGCGAGGCATTTCCAGGTAGGAAGACTGTGGCCCCTCACAATACAAACAGTGTAATGGAATTGTATACACAGTGAAATTTTTAAACTATGAAGTAGAAAGCCTGGCTTGTTTACATGACTCTGATAGCAGTGTGTCTATTTTAAGGATATTAGCTGGTAGAGTGTGCCAAGACCCAGGCAAGATTAAGTCGGCAAAAGCTTTTGTAGGAGATCAGCAAGCTAAATTCATCTTATGGGGAGGAGAGTAATGGTTATCTTGTTGGGGGAACTCAAATTTTTCGTTTTAGGTTGAATCTGCAGTGCTTGGATCTCTTTCAGACTGTGGTGTCTTCTCCTGATAAAACCCTCCTCAAGAGGGGTAGGGAAGTTTGGGAGGAAAAAGAAAAGCTCTCAAGATTTTTTTTTTGGAATTTCTTGGAATTTTGCCGATGAAAAGTTTGAATCTTCTAAGGATCTACACCTGCTGAAACATAATAATTTTTTTTCAAGGGAATGATGGGATTTTAGATTTTCGAGGGAGTGTTTATAGCAAGCTGGCAAGCAGGATGTCTGAGGAATATTTACTCTGTAAGTATCAATGTACTATGTCTAGGGGCTTTAGTGTGACCTTGCACTTGAATGACCAGCTTTATCACCATCAGTGGGGGGTTTTGCCATATCAACAAATGCATGTAAAATCAATTTGAACTATTTAGTTTACATACACGTCCATTCAAGTGTAGACTGGAAAAACCCTATTAGTTGCCCACATGTTTTTTAACCTCTGCCATGCACTACTGAATGTGCGTATTGACGTAATTTTAGGCTCTGTAGCTTGTTATGATCTGTTTGTTTGGATCAAGGAACATGATTCAAGGTTATTCATAATTGTATATTTTTTGTCAAGAGATTGATAAAAGGGAAATGATTATGAACCATGGAAAATCTTAATCTACAAGGTCATGTATACTCGTAGAGATGTCGCCTCACAGTGTTGAACTTCTAGCATTGTGACTAATCCAAGTTAACATGGTACCATAAGTTCATAGATGATCCTAAAAAGTATTTTTTCATCAATATTGACTCACATTTACCTTTTTTTTCCTTTTCATTCATTCAACCTTGCACCACTTGCTGGTAGCTGTTTGAGTAAATAAATTCAAGGAAAATTGCTGAATTTCTTTAAGATGATCTCATTTTAACACTTATTCTAGCAATATTCTATTTCCTTTGTGTTTACTCTTTGTGTTTCTTTCAGTGAGATTTATAATGGGAAAAAATATTTGATTAGGTTAAAACACAGCCATTACATAGTCATAGGGATGACTAAAATTTTTTTTTTCTTTTTTTTTTTTTTTAAATTTTAACCAGAAATAAAAGCTCTATGGCTGTATACATGCCAAGCTTCTGCAGCTATACTGTATGTTCTTATCAAATATGACAGACACAATCTCGAAGAAAAAAAATGATGTTCTGAACAATGCTCTTCTTATGTCCAGCTTGCGTCAGTCAGGAAAGTTTAATGAAAATATAACAGGAGAAACGTGAAAGTTGATCACAACTCATTGTCGGAGAGGGAGGGGAAATTGGGGGTCTGAAAACATGGAGAACAACTTCCTTTTCTTCTTAACGATGGAGCGATTACGTAGTTACAGAGCCTTTATCAGACACTGCTGACGTAAAAAATTCTGTCCAGAAATTCTCCCCTGTCTACCAAAGGTTTTCAAAATAAAAGAACTGCTGTGTTCTCTTTTGTGAAATTGATAACTTGAATTTTTTAGTGCAGAGGGTTTGAAATTTTAAAAACTTTTTGGCCGTAGATCCAGGTGCATATAAACCCTATACCCACATAATGGCCTTGTCTTAAAAGGGATGACTGCAATATGGCTCAGAGATTTTTGCACTAGCTTAAAAGGGGCAGGTTAAAGTATGTCGTTAGTGCAGATGCCCTCATGGCAGCCGGCCCACATATTCATGTACTGATAAATCAAGGAATGACATGCAGATCACATATTCCTTTAACGCTTTTGAATTGTTGATGGGTATTAGTCAATTCTAAGCAAAGTGATAATGATTTTTAATGAGTTTTTCTGTAGGAAAAATCCAGTTATTGAGATGGTGGAAATACATGTGGTGGGTGGGTGGGTTTGGGGCAGCTGCTAAAGGGTTACGTCATTTGTCCAGATAACTACTACAGTTTTCCAGATAGAAAGTTCTTGTTTTGCAGATCAATTGTACATGTATCAGAAATGTACAAATTACTATGATTTTGATTTTTGGTTATCTATGCGAAAAATACAAGTTGTTGAACTTTATAGTCAGTTGTATACAAAATATTGCTTCTAGTTTACATCATTTGTCGGGATAACATCTCGATCTCCTACATTTTTCAAGATAAGAAATTTTCATTTTGCAAATCAGTTGTAAATATATCAGAGATGTGCATACAAGTGGTAGTTGGATTTTGATTTTTGTTATTATTTTATGAGTAAAATACAAGTTGTTGAACTGTGTCAATTTAATGCAAATTATGTTCGTATGGTACATTGATAGTGTTGGGATATTTGTGTCACCTCCTACAGTTTCTAGAATACAAAATGTTTATAATTTTCTTGAGTAATACCAGCACTGTTCCCCCCCAAAAAACAAAAAACCCACAGTTTGACAACTTTCCCCTTGTACAAATTTCTCTTGTTTTTGATTGTCCTTGGTAAGCAGGGTAACTGAAGAAAATGAAGTCTTCTTTTAAAGTTGTAATTCGTTGTCATTTGATATACCTTTTTTCAGTTCATCTTTCTGTGAGAGGCACAAGTGAACAATTGTTAGTGTGAGAGGCATGCACATTTGAACTTTTCGCTGAAGTTGGGAGGGGGGGGGGGAAGTAGAGCATACTTGATCACCATGATGCGTGAAGCTTAACCGTAACATTGCTTTTGGGTTCAGAATTCTTTTACATCATCAAATTCTGACTCCTCGCTTCTTTTCCAGAGCTTCTGACTCAGATTCAAACAGTGTTACCTTCTTAAATATTCTTGGTGAAGTGGATTAAATCTCATTAATTAAGTGAATTGTCATTCTTGTTTGAGATTGAAGCTAAAAATTAAGACGTACATATCGGTGAAAGTGAAAAAGTGAAATGATTCATTCAGAAATCTTCCTTGGTGCCGCAGTTCCAGATTTAGATAAACAAGGTTAGTTTTTAAATAGTTTTCCATCCTCAAACCCAATCAGAGACCCTGTATTTTTTGTCCATTCATGGAGTGATAGATTCTCAGTGGAATTATGTTAATGAGCAGGAACTCAGGTGTCCATCAATAGACGAAGTGAAAGAAACTACATGTATTAATTATTAGATATAATACGTACAGTATTATTTCTTATAAATTTTGGAAAAAAATTTAGGTACATGTATTGATTGAAATTCTGGAACCAATCTAAGCACAGCAAAGTACCTCTTCCAGTTTGTTGCAAATTGTAGGAGAATGGTAGTCTGGCTGGGAAATGGTTAAAAAAGATATTAAACTTCTATTTTTAACATAACCTCGTTGGCACTGATGGTTTAGTTTCCTGAAAAATTGTAGTTTAATAGTGCCTAATATAGACGAACTAAAGGGGAAGGAAATGTAATTTAAATGTGTCTATTTATATTTACAATAATAAGTGATCCTAATTAAATACAATCATAAATTTATTTATAGTTTTTTTTTTAGTAATATGGAGTGATTTTTGAACAAGGAAATCTGCTTAAATTTGATGATTTTAAAATGTGTTTTGGCATGTTTCCTGAATGCCTTTGATGAGTTTACACACAATAAAATTATATATAAGAATGCTACAAAAATTGATATTGTGAATATCTTTTGATTAATGCACATTTCGGCACACATCCCATACATTTTAGATAATAATTTTGAATGGTATCAATGATAATTCTAACTGAAATCTAAGCTGAAATTGAGAAGAGACTGCATTGGATGACATTTTTGGCTCAATCCTTCCACATTTACATGATTTACTGAAGACATGATGATTTTCTGTATTTATGAATAATGTAGAAGTACTTTTTTCCATGTGATATTAATTTAAGCTATGTATGCAGTCACAAGTTTTCTGCAGAAAATTGTGTGAGCGTACTTTTAAGTTCATTTAAGGCATATAAAGGCTATCTAAGAAATCTGTAATTTTCTACCCGTGGATTGAACAAAAATTTTGATTCTGTGGAATATTGACCCCGTGGAAAAAAGTACGTTTGTAGTATAAATGGATTCTTTTTTTACTGTTTGTAGTTGTATGTAAGGGTTTACAACTGCTTATTCTTTGACCCAGAGTTGTGACCACAAACATCAAAGTCGTTCTGGTTCCAGTAAGTCTTCTGAACCTTATGTGGATTCAATAAGTTACCTAACGATATGGATTTAAGATTTTTTCATAAAACATTAGAGCAAATTATATGTCCTTTCAACTATTTATACAAAGGACTCTCTAATTTCAGACAAATTTATTTATTTTGTGTCAAAGTTCAGAAATTCATATTACTCAGTATGTTCGGTGATTTTCACCTTGCACTTCAAGGACATTATTTTACTTACGCATCTAATTTAACCTGTATTCTTCATGTCTTTTGGAGCTTTAAGTTGCAAATATTCCTTGTCTCTGGAGCACTGTCTCATTGCAGGTTCTGATTTCGGTCATTGATGCAGGTCAAAATATTTGACATTTGCACAATCATCATAACCCTTGGGCTTGGTTCCATCTGATGTTGAAGAAAATTGATGGTATTGTTATATCACTGTTACTCGATGCATCTTCTTAGAGAACTTGGTCAATTGGACATTGAATTGTGGTGTTTTACTGGGTTTTTGATGATTATCTTTGTGGCATAAGTTTCTGAATCTGTGCTACTGTGCCATTTAGGTTTGGCAGCAGTTTTGCCAGAAGAAAGGCAGAGTTAACGCCATTTTTGGTTTAGAATTTTCTTACTTGGAACCTTAGTATCTCTGCTATTTTTATGCTTTTTTTGAGGAAAATTTGTCTTTGGAAAATATTTGTGCATTTGTCAAGCATATGGTATGGTACATAATCTGAACTTAATTGTTCTACATTAGTTCTATAATCATTTTAATGAACAAACTGTTTAATATATATAAAATGAAAAAGAGAATATACATATTTTGTTCAAAGGAGTCTTCCCCCCCATTAATTTTAATTTTTTGCTCACCTGATCAGTAAAGCTTAGGTGACCTTTACTGATCACCCGTTGTCCTGGCTCCATCTTAAAATATTCAGGTAACTATTAAAGACCTACATTTTCCCCTGAAATATATATCCAATTACATAAAATGATCTGAAGCTGTGTAGAGGTTTTTAAAATCATGATATGACAGCATAAAAAAAGGCATTTCATAGAAAAACATGATTTATTTGTGCATGTATACAATATCCTACTTATGTTACAGTGCAGGCTACTGTTCTTTTGACGTGTTTGAATAAGTGACACCTATTAAGTGAGTGACAACATTGGGTATTTGTGGGTTTAATAATTGTCAGAATGATACATTAATGTTATATGTCCTTTTAATTTCTTGTCT